TTTCATTAACAATTGCATAAAATTCTATAGCTGTAAGTAATGTATATTTCTTCAGGTGGTATTCCACTTAGTCACTAAAATGGGGAGGGTAGAAGGGACAATATGGGGTGAACATTTTCCACAGTGTATGTGTGTAAGTATAAGTATCTGTTCATAATAATATAGAATAACCATGCTTCTTAATTTTTTGTAAAGTAAATAGGTTTAAGGAACCTTATACATTCTGATATAACCCATATTAAACAGAGGATATAATGAAAATAAAGATTCTACATTTTACTTTGCATTTAATAAAATAACATTCAAGGTGTCTAATAAATGTAAATTCAACCAAAACAAAGCGTGACACAGATTGTGAAAATTTAAAGACTAAGAAAAAATAATGAATCCATGCACTTGTATTTATTTTAAGTAGTTAAGCATCAATCTTTCCCATTTATCTAAAATGAATTAATGTACGTTTCCGTCTGGGATTGTTTGGGGAATCCCATAGTTTACAAATTAAACTTCAAGTAAAATGTAATACATGAACACTATCCCAGAAAAGATATTTTAAACTATTTATCAATTGCATTTAATCAATTTATTAAGATCGACAAAAATGAAGAATCATGAAATTTAAATTATTAATGCAATTTTTTTTTTTCAAATTCTTTCACATCTAATTTTCAAAAAGAGGAAAGCTCAAATTTAGAAAAAGACATACTGAGCAGCACACTATGGGAAAAATACCAAACTAATATATCCTGCCTGAAAAGCGTTGCCGTCATTTGATAAAACGTGCAACTTATTACTATAGAAGAATATTTTTAAACTGGTGGATTTGAAATGGTTTGTTGCATCCATTAACATCGATGTTTAAATCATAGGAACAAGACAAAAAATACAGTTTAAATGTAATTTTTCGTTAATAATCTTAATTCACGAGTTGCCTCCCACAAATCAAATAATCAGTACTCATGCAGTGATATACCAATAATTCTACTATTCACCTGTAAATACGGCTTATTTGGCATGAAGTGTCACAATGACTTGTAGTAAGAAACTAATTTAGTTATGTATAGAACGATACTTCCCTTGTTTCTAATAAATTACTTTTTTCAAACAGATGAATTCGCATGTTTTTATAAAAAATAGCTTTATAAATAATAATATACAGTGTATTATAAAGATTACTTAAATGATTTAATCACTCTCTAAGATCTGATCATTTAATTCTTTGCATTAAGAATATTTATATTTTTCAAACCAACTGGCCATCTTTTGCAAATATAGATTTAATAAAAGCAATTCAAAGTTATGCAAAATTTTTATTCCTACCTTTTAATATATGTTCTGCATTTACGTTTGTGGTGAAAATTTATCCGTCTTTCAAATTTTTGCATTTATTTTTATTAAGTAACTAAATGTGAATTCTTGGGGATTTTTTTTTTTCAAAAGCAAAACCAAAAACAACCCTTTTAAAAATGATATTTTAACACCGAAATAATTCATTTTTCTTATGATTTTATTTTTATTTAAATTACAACTTAAAAATTAAAATATATTTTCCAAATGTCAGTAAATTTAGCACCTACTTTTGACTGATTAAACATACCCATTGCTTTTATTTCAAACGAATTAAAGTACAATTTTGAGATGCACATATACTTGGTTATGATAATTTATTGTTAATGTCAACTAATCTGACATAAAATCCGTTCCCCAAGGTATCTGGGTGATTCTGGGGAATCCCAGATTTTTCTAAATTTGAGCTTTTATCTAAGCCATACTAAAATCCTTGACAATCTTAACATATTCAACCCCGTCCTTCTTTGGTTTGATACCTATATGTCTTACAAAGATATTAAAACATGAAACTTAATCAAGTGTGTAAAGAGAGTTAAGCAAATCAAATACTGTTACTTGAAATGTCAAGTAAAATGTTAATAAATTCAACACGGCGTTAAATCAACAATACAAAAAAGATTAGAAGTATGGAGAGTACATGGAAGAAGATGCTATGTAATACAAGACTGTTGCGGTATAAACCGAACCAATTACATATAAGACAATTCAAAGACAATTACAGATAAAACCAGATATCATTTTTCATCGAATTTGCTTTTCATTAGGAAGTTCCGGGATCGGTAACAAGAGTTGTATGATATTAATGAGATAGTAAGACTTAACCAGAAACCACTGCATGTTTCTGTACACTATACAACGAATGAATCATAAGTAATTGATTTTTTGTGCGAAAAGGTTCACAAAGGCCAATTATTATGGAATGCTGCCCTAGAAAAGTTGATAATAAGTTTTGTTTAGCAAGAAATATTAAGCTACAAAGTTTATTTTTCTGCTTCAAAATAACATTTGATGCTTTAAAAAGAATAACACAATATATAGCTTACTGCAGTGAGTAGCTAAAGAAACACGAGTTTTTATTAAACTCATGCTCCTGCTAGGGAAAACTTTCATTGTAATGTCACAACACAACAAAGTCTCTCCAAGAAAATGAAAGAAATCCAGAAAAAATCTAGTGTATAATATTTCAATAAGAACAGAAATTTTCCTTTTTAGTGATGCATTTAATTCAACAAATTTAATTCGTTATAACAAATTTAAGAATTCCTTTAAACAAATTTAATTCTTAATAACAAATTTTTGAATCCGTTATAACGAATTCAACAAATTTGTTATAACAGAATAAATTCGTTCTAACGAATTCAAAGAAATTGTTATAACGAATTAAATTCGTTATAACAAATTCGACAATTCGTAATATCGAATTCAATAATATTTTTCGATAGGTTGTGAATGGGATTCCGTATTTTTTTTTGAAATTTTGAATTCTTAATTTGCACTCACAAAGTCTGTTATTACAATACATTAGACAGAAGTATGTTGTAATAGTTTTGTTAATACAGTTAGATATAATTACACAGTTTGAAATTATGAATTCTCAAATTTTATTCCTTCTAACAAATTTTTGAATTCATTATAATAAATATTCAACAAATTTGTTTTCACGGATTAAATTCTTTAAGAACTGGTATAAAGAATAAAATAATTTGTAAAATACAACAATTCTTTATTTCGATCAAAACTTATTCATATGTCGTAAATGGACTTCTGTACAATTCAAGTGCCCTACCGGCAAGTGTTTCCCGTTTTCCCTTTATCAAAACTTAAAAGTACCCTTATTCCCTCATCAAACTCATCAAAACGGGCCGAAATGCAAACTTGATCTGTCACTCAATAAGGTAGACTTACATACCAATATTCAGCCAACCATCTGCAAGGATGAGAAATGTGTGGAAACCAAGTGGGACAGACAGAGAGGGGGACAGCTAGACAGATGGACACACGAGGACCTAACCTAAAGTCCCATCAGGTTTCACCGGTAGGGGACTACATATCATAAGTTACATGACATCATAAATAAGTTACATGTTTACATACATGATTCGTTTAATTGTCGACATAAACTAGATGCAAATCGCATGTTTGAATTCACATAAGGGCAATATTTGATATTTTATGAATTTTTTCCCAATTCTTATTCGATCAAATTTGTCTTTCATGTTCCAAATTGACTCTATTTTGCTTGTCGACATAATCCATATAAACATAACTTGCATACAAGGTTCAGAAATATGCTGCAGCCTGGAGAGAAAAATAAGGCTGAAAATAAGCACTTTATACAAATAAATCATTTCTCTCCTAAAACCTTTATCGTACAAAACACCTGACTGAAACGTTTGTTTGCAGAAGTTTAACCTTGCAAAGATTGAAGAAAAAGGATTGGGAAAATAGTCAATAATGACATTGCATTACTCTGGAGATTGTTCTAATTCAAATAGGAAAAAAGGCAAAAGAAAAATTTTTATCTTAATTTTTATTGCACAGGTGTATTCTAATTGCAAAGTACATAAATGTCAGGAGCCTTGCCTTGAAGGTCATAAAGACACCACAAAAAGTACAAAGCTAGAACTAATAAGCAAAGAACAATTGGCAGTTTATCTTCTCGTGATCATTACGTAACAATACTTGATGTTGTTTGCCTAAATTTGTTTGTTTTTCAAACAAACATTACATGATGAATTTCAATGTTAATTTAATTTAAGAAAAGTACAAAATATCAATTAAGTCGACCATGAAAACAAGCTGTATTTATTTTTTCGAAACGACAAACACTGCCAACAAACTGTGAGAAATACCATATATTGGGTGACGACTTTGCATCTTCACTTGGTTGGACATAGCTTAGACATCTTTTCTCTTTCGACCGAAGTGGAAAATGCTAAACGGTCCATCAGTTTATGATACCAGGCTTCACAAATACAGACTCAAATCTGCATACTATTATCTGAAGCATGACGTATCCACTAGAGAGGAAATAATTTCCTTTGAAAATGCAGTACATTATAGTACGTGTAGTTTTATGTATTGTTCACAAATTAAATAAAAAAAATATTTCGGAAATATAACAATTATGAGCAAATATGCACATTTGTCATTATCATTTCACATATCTATGTGATTTTCTTTTACGAAAATTCAAAGAAATAAGCCACTATTCTTTTAACGTGGAGGAAACATCAAATGTGAAATGATTGATTAAATTGAATTACAAAAGAAAGAAAGAATCTTGCGATATTCTCTTAATTTACGGCAAAGAGTTTTGACTATTTGACAATCTTTTGATGTAAAAAAAAAGTGTTTTGATAAAATAGCAAATATTTTTAAACCGTGGATAGTGGAGATAAGCAGTGATACAATAAAACACTCATTCATCAACGCAGGCAGCGATGATTAATTCATATGAACGAATCTCTATATAAATTCATATTCCATACCAGATTTTATGGATTTCCAAAATGTCAAGAGTTTTAAGCATGATTCCTGAGAAGGCTGCTCTTTATGAGATGATTGGCCTACACATATAATTAAGATTATTCTTCGGATATAAACAGAGGATTTTGCAGGAATCTTAAGTCGTCCACCTATTCATCAAGATGAGAACTGAAATGTTTATTTTGTTAGCTATTTTCTTGACAACTCAGATATGTTCAAGTTCTTTGATTGACAATTCCTATCAGAGATATTGTCGGACAAACATTCATGGAGACCAGAATTGTTACTTCACGGTAGCTTATTGGTTCAATTTTGTAAATTTTCGTCAGTGGCTTGAAAAACTTCCAGATCCACTTGGTGATGTGTCATTAAACATATACTGTTTCGATGGAGCCCATATCTATATGCCTTTTCCATTCCGGGCCAGAAATCTCAAGAAGCTTCATGTAAAGAACTGTCTGATCAGAAGCTTCATGTCTGAATGGAACTCTACATCGCAATATCCCGATACCATAGAGGAGCAAGAGATAGAAAATTCTGAATTTGAAGTTGACTATCAAACGATGCAAGAAGTCATCAGCAGCACTCTCAATAAAAAGAATGACTGTGGGCAGAAGACACTCATAAAACTGGCTTTGAAAAATAATACATACAAACCTGTAGTCAAGGATCCAAATGTGTCTCTGAAATCCCTGGCTGATTCCTTCGAGGCTTTTCAGGATAGGATGAAATCTGCAGATTATTTGTGTAGCTACAAAAATCTTGATTACTTGGAACGTTCAGGTGAATCACCACTAAGTAAAACATACATGAAAACTTTGACTGACAAATCGCATTACCCAAGGTTAAAGACCATCAGAATGATGTCAAATCAGATTGTGAATTTTCCCGAACAATTTAAAAGATGGTGGGAATATTTCCCTACACTACGTCAACTTGACCTATCCAACAACTCGTTACAGAATTTTTCATTTAATATTCCAATGAAAACTATGACAAACCTCGTACCTTTATTTGTAAATCTAAGACAAAATAACATAAAAAGTGTCCCTTCAGACATTGGCAAGTATTTATCACAATCACCCATAATCTTAGATGTGCGAGAAAACCCTATCGAATGTGATTGCAACGCAGAGAAACTAGGTCATTATCTACGAGCTGTCCGACGACGTTATCCTTTATACAAACATTTCACCGAAGTTGTGTGCAAATCACCCAGACAAGTGAAAAATATCAAACTTATTTATATTAACTATGAAAAATGTTCTCAAACTGCGCAAATTTAATCTTTCTCTGCAACAGTTGTCAAATAAAGGTTTGTGTCTAGTAACTTTAACTATTTGATGTGAACTTTTCCTGGTAAAAGGGTAAAAATGTATTTACAATCTATACTTATAAATTAATAAATTTTGCAAATAAACTCCGAAACGGGTGCATCAGAGTTCTTACTTACTCCTCTAACAATACACTATATACAAGATGATGTCCGTAAACTGTATTTAGATTTCACTTGCATAGTAAGTGTCGTACATTAAATTAAAAGTCTACTTTTATTTTCTTTAAACAGCCATGAAATAGCAAAAACGTGAGTACGGTGGCGTTTCCGGTTGGCGGATCTAAGTTACTAGCAGCTTTTAATGAAACTGACAACAAGCAATCGTTTATTTATTCTATAAAACGTCATCACTTCATTATTCAATCAAAACTTGATTTAAATGATATAAAAGAAATAAATTGTGACAACCGATTAAAAAGGGAAATGTTCAAATTATTTTCGTCATTCGCCCATCTTAATATTGACGGAAGCTTCTAGAACATCAGATAGCATCGAGCCCGAAGTTCAAAAGAAAAAAGAGGCGATTATAGCTGCATGAAAATAAAAGAAAAAGCTTTTGTGTGAATGGTCAGTGAAATAATGGTAAATCATCGAGAACACTATAAGTTGTGAATATATTAATATATCGAAAGACTATTACATATATGTAGTAAGTTTTTCTAATAAATTTATCGGTAAAATTTGTAACTTTATCGGTAAAATTTGTATTTTCCTTACTAAGAGCATCGTGGTAACGAACCCGAAGTACAATTTGTACTTCGTAATAAACTTGCTTACATGAAAAGAGAAAATTAATGAATAAGGTATTGTTCAAATATAATTAAAGCTGTAAAATTTTGTGCTTTAATCAATACATTTCAGTTTTTTTCTGAATACAGTCTTTTGTATCAAATACTTGGCCTATTCATAGGGCGTTAAGCAGCTAATTTTTACACAGGTACTTGGGTCTTGATATATAAATATGTATGTGCAGGGTACCTTATTGATATATAAAAAAGGTAAAGTACATTTTTACATATCAATAAGGTACATATATATTTATAAACCAAGACCCAAGTACCTGTGAATTTTTGATCCCCCCCCCCCCCAATCAATTTATCATTAAAATGTGCATACATATGTATTTGCTCCTTTTATCCTTGGTAGAAATGAAATAAGAGCATCTGAAGTACAATATCCATAACATTATATAACAGGTTTCACAATAAACGGCAATTAAATGAAATTGTTATTTTTCGGGTTTTTACAAAAAGGGGGTGGGGTGGGGTGGAGACGTACATTTACTTCCTGTGTGATTTTGAACAAAGTATATTTTTCCTTCTATAAGCCTGTAGGCTGTCAGTAGAAACTACAATATATTTTCTGTCGGTAGTGTTATAAATTCAATTCCCCGCGCTTGCGCGGGATTTCATCTAGTATTACTAAATTTAACGTCGTTTATCTTAATCAATAAATTTAATGTTATCTATATATATTTGTTTTATCATGCTAATGATTTTTTTGTTCTACCTGAATTCAGAAACATTTCCAATCTAATATTTAGATCTAGGTTTCAAATCTCTTTTTAAGTGCATTAATGCCCCATACATCAATGACATGTTTTTCCTCCTGTCATAATGGCATAAAGTTTGTTTGGTTCTATCATTTGACAGTAGTTGATTTCGGCGAAAGCTATATTTGCTTTACTGGGGACATAATTTCATATAAGACATAGCCGTTGGGTCAGTCTCCATAGATGCTGCAACTGCAAATTATGACAATAAGAATTCAGCACAGTCGACTTGGAAAAAAGGCTAACGGATGGACAGATTAAATCCCCCCTCTCTCAGTTCGACTACTTTCCTAATTCATATGACATACTGATTGATTGATTGTTCGTCTTTTTACATTCCTTGCAAGAATTTTTCACGTAACAAAATACGGTTAAGGGCTTCAAATTCAGACCTTTACTTGGCACTCAAGGCCATTGAGCATTGAAGTTTCTCATCGAGCCAAAGCCTACCGTGACACGGGACCTACATTTTTAAAGTCAGACCCGAAAGACCCATGACTTTCACTTCTAATGCCGGGGACTTGGCGAAGGAACAGTCACTACTTGTGTTATACGTCTTAGGTTTGTTAAGCCCCGGGAACAAGAATCGGACCCGGACATCCCGATCACAAAGCGAGCCCAACCACTAGACCACCGCAACCGGTATATATCATACTGGACTTCAGATTGAATTCTATCATTGCTGTATTAGTGAGAATAATTAGAATGCTTAATACATTAAAAATATTCATCCAAAGTTTAAAGTATTAGTCCTGCTTCAAAATGGAATTTTGACCTAAGGGTGATCATGCCATATGAAAAGCAACCTGAATGAACATTTATTACGGTGTATTTGTAATCAGGAATGATCCTTTTGTAATGGTCTTCATATTTCACTAGGAATGTAATCTAAGTGCTTTTATTGATAAAGAATGATTTTTGTTTAAGGAAATTCATTTAAATTCAAAATGCCAAAAAGAATCTTTTAAAATTTTAAATCTAAAATAATCTTTTTAAATTAAAATGAATCTGGTTATTATATCATTTTAATTATCATACTTGGTCTTAAATTTGCTTAAATGATAATATAAATGAGTAGATTAAAGAAATATTAATTTTTTTTTTCATTTTCCCAAGATTACCTTTTGTTCTAAAGTAGTGAGGTTTTAGTATTTACTAATCATGATTTGTTTCCTCAGTATGTATTGGCATTAAATAGTTACATGAATTAGTACATCATATAACAATGCTAGAAATATTATAGGTGGCATCTTGCCCTGCTAAAATACGTTTAATTTTAGAAAAATGTATATGTTTATATTTTAGTTTATTTTCAGATTTTCTCCTTTTAACAATGAATATGAATGTCACATTTTGTCATGATTCTCAGAAAGACGGAACATTAAATGATTTATTAGTCTATAAATTACGATAACTTAGGTATTTTATAATTCTAATTGTTTAGTTCATCTCTATACCATCTAAAATTGAATTTGTCAAATGGCATGCATAATAAAATTAAAAAAAGTCCTTCCTATTACTTTCAAAATAGCTTAAGACCTTTTCAAAATAGCACGCATAAAGAAAAGTATGTGGTCGAACATACCACGTTACTTAATGTATGTTGTATAACAGTCGATTAAAAATTTTTATTATTGATAAATCAGGAGAGAAACAATGCTTTAGGATAAGGTCCAAGTCTCTTGCAGTCAAAATTCTTACTTAAGTATCATTTTTAAAAATCAAAGTCTCTGGCAGTCATAATTCTTACCCAAGTATCATATTTTTAAAATCAAAGTCTCTCGCAGTCAGAATTCTTACATAAGTATCATATTTTTAAAATCAGTCTCTCGCAGTCAGAATTCTTACATAAGTATAATATTTAAAAAAAAGGGGTGAAAAGTTTTTACACCTAGTACATTCTATATCATTTGAAAAAGGTGAAGATAACACCTTTGATCGATATAAAAAAAATCTACAAACAATACAAATCTGTGTACAGGGCAAAAACACGGACTCCCGGAATATGATCATTATCAATATGTTTTTAAGCATAATAAAATTTTATTCAATAGGTAAAGTGGCTCATTGAAAAATCCTTTAAATTGCTGTTTAAATCAAGTTTCAAGGTGCTCAAGGTGCAGATAATTAATGCTTGTTAATGAATTTATGGTAGAGTACGTCCACTCTTATTAAACTCTCTCTCTCTCTATACGAATAACAACCATAATGCGACCAGTTATATATGCTTCGAATAAAGATTTCACACACCGTTTTTGAAATTGACACTATTCCTGCTGGATTGCCTTAATTCCATATATCTTTTTAGTCGTTGACATGTTTTGACCAAAGGTTATCTTTATTAGACCCCAACTGTTTTGAACCTTGACCGGGAAACATTTCTGATTCCAACCAACTGAAAACATTTGGAGGCGATTAAAGAAGATCTTTCCTTGCTTAAAACATGTCAACATCTAAAAACGAATGTGGATGACACTCCAGCGGGACCTGTGCTTAATTTTTTTTTAAAACTTTATTCCGTGGTTGTGCCTGAAAGGGAACAACTAAGTACTAGAAAGTAAAATATTATCATGAACATATAATTATAAAAAAAATTACAAAATATATAATATCTTTTATTAGCGTCTTTGTGTAAAAGCTTTAAATAAGTTATGCATTATTACGTTCACAGAAGGATATAAGGTTAAATGTTTTCCGAGCTATATATAAATATATATAATTACTTTTTTTCCAGAAATGTGTTACTTTTGATCGATCTGTTCAATAGTAGAGATACTATTTTTGACGAACTGTACATCGTAATCAAATATTTTCTTTAATATTTATGTCGAGAGACTGAATTGCTTAAGATGTAGTAATTATTTTATTTTCTTCCATAAAGACACCGAGTAATGGAGAGCGATGTATTGGCATTGTCGGAAAATATCGAGCAATAACAGGTCACACATTGTTTTCTAATAAATCTATATATATGTACTTTTCAGAGTTAATATTTCAACATACACTTGTCAAAGTTCCTACAATTTTGTAATATATAAATCCCAAATCATCAGAGATAGTTGGGTCCTTGATGGCGCATACTTGAGACGGTGGTTTTCCTTTCTTTTCACTGTTCAATAAATAAATAAATAAATAAAAAAATAAAGTAAAAAAAAAAAAACACCGTCCTTGAATATAAGCATTTGTGAATTCATTTAAAGTTTCACTCCTGTTATTTTTCAGAAATCTTTAAAATTTGTCACACGCGTACGGCAAACTCGGTTTTCTTCCAAATCGATGCCTGTTTTCTTCACTACTGAAATCTGTATTATTCTTTTTGGTTCCTGAGTTACTCAGATGAACTATTTATTGATATTTGTTTTATGTCTGTCGTCGTGTGTCGGTCGAAAACTTTTTAA